GGGAAAGGGACAAAGAAAGCTTAAGGATATAGTTCTTCACAGTGTATAGCAACAATTTTTCAAATGGGGCTGACTATACAATTGGACATAGCAAATGTAAAAGAAGCAAAGATATGAACATACTTTAAATCTGATGTTTTTGAAGTTGAGGGGTTTAACATGTTAGGAGAAAGCAGCGCTGACATACGGGATGCAAGTGGAACAAGAGCTAATTCTGAGAATGTGCCTTTCTGAGAATGGTCAACTTTCACTGCTATGAGGGGCCTGCAGGAACGTTTAAATACTCAGAATGGAGTGAATGAGCCTGTGTCCCCAGTAGCAAACATAAAATGCTGGATTAAGAAAAGCAAGACCAAAGCCAGAAATGTTTTATGCCAACTGAGGTCCCTCACAGACCAAGCATCAAAATAGAAAGTTGGTTAGGAGGAAATGTAGTGGTTATTAAAGAGAGAGTGTTTAACAGGTAGAAATTATTGGTAGGCTCTGACTAGAGATAAAAGATGGATTATAACATCTGAACTGCTGGCTTAGAGGGGCAGGATCACAGATGTGAGATCTTAGAGCACTAAAAGAATATTGGAAAACTTTGACCATGTTTGAAGGTCAATGCCAGATGAGAGCTCAGCCAGTGCCACAGCTGGCCACTACACCAAAAGCCTGGCCTTTTCCATAGCCGGAGGGCCGTACTGTAGGATCACTATTGTAGCATCATAATCCTTTAACTGTCCTACACTGCTGAAATAACTTTGGGCTCTTCTGGCATGTTCGTGTTTCCTACGATAAGACTTCTTTTCTTTTCCCTTCCCTTTCCCCCTTTTTCATTTTTTTTTTTTTTTTTTTTTTTTGCTTGAGGCGCTCAAGAATAATGGTAGCTCGGTGCTACTCTGGTGTGACAGCAATGCACAATTTAAGTGAGAAGAGGAAAAAAGATCAATAGTGAGAGAGGTCTTGGTCCTCCTGTAAGCTGTCACTATCTGAGCTATGGAAGGCAAATAAACTTCTACAAATCAGTCAGAAAGTGGATGTGCAGAGTTTGGAGAGTAAATGAAAGTTTCACAGAAGGACTCTCAAAGGGAAGGGTAATGATAGTGGCTTTAATCACAGGATGAGAGCTGATGCAGATTGCGGAGCTGATACCTGAGAAATGAGGGACAAACCCATAGCTTTTGAAGCACCGTTGAATACTAACGCCCTGTTGTTATTCTTTAACTGGAACTGTTCTGCAGCCATGGGACTTTTGCCATCCACCAATCATGTAACTAAAAACAAAACCAGAAGGGAGCAGACACCTGCATTTTATGTGTTTTTCCAGTGTTCAGATAGGCACGCTGAGTCGGGGTGGGGGGCCATTTTCTGGGTTTGGTAGACCGCTTTTTTCGCTGCATAATCTTTCCCCCAGCATTCGAGATCAACCAGGACAGACTAAGCCTAAGATTAAGGCAGACCAGCTGAGGAGCTGTTCCCATAGCAGATGGCGTCACACGAGTGGAGTTACTCCTGTGATAGAGCAAGGCTATACAGCAATACAGACAACGGGGCAAATACTTGGTTTTTCTTGACCTAGTCATTCTCACCTCACTACTAGTTCCTTTCCCCCTGCAGAAAAGCAAACCAAACATCCAATTACTGCTCAAGCAAGAGGCCAAATCTGCATGTCACCACCAAACTTCTACTCCAGACTTGTATTTATGTCTCTTGTGAATAATGTGCTTCACTAAGATTTGCATTAGGTCATGTTTAGTTTGTTTAGTAGCACTTTGTGTGGTCCTGAAAAACAGCTACCGTGAAGTGACAGTATTGTAACCACTTGAAGGATTGCATTATATAGCTGCACACTATAGCATATAGCTGCACATGTGGTCAAAAATTAGACACCACATCTGACTAATCACTACCTTCAAAGTTTTTCTGAGTAGGTCTGATGAATAAGTCCTTTCTCAGGAATTGAGACTTCTGAAACTGTTCTCTAAAATCACAGTAGTTTATTTCGCTTTTATCTTTGGATGTCAGTGATGCTTTCTACTAAACATGAAACAAACCTGCTCATCTATGAGGTGTGGCCATTAAATCACCGTCTAGATCAAAGATTTTGATGACTCATCCTCCTGTCACAAAATGTAGTTATAGTTCCTATGACAACTACTCCTACCTCCTCTGGAGCATAGACTAAGGGTAGTGTTTGGTTACATGACCATGTAACCCTGGGCACTGTGACAGCCTTGTCATCTCAGCTCCTGTCTTTCTTCCTAAACAGCATTTAGCTGAAGCCCACGTGTCTTGTGTGGAATATGAATTTAAGTGACTGACCTTCATTTTGCTTACTACTTGCCACCTCTGTCTTCCCCGTTTCCTGCTCTTTATTAGTAAGCTTACTTTTTACTAAAATACATTTGGTAGGGCTGTCTTTATTAGTAAAAACTTCTGGAAATGGATCTCTGTGATAGTAAATCTGTACACTATGTGAGAAACATGAACTGACTATTAACAACAGTATCCTAACAAGTAAATAGAATACTAATCTGTATTATGTAAACCAATCTGCTCACCAAAATTCATGAGAAAGCAGCCAAACAGGACTGTGTAGCAGATTACTGCAGTTACTTCTGCAATACACTTAGAAAAAACTAAAACAAATTGAAGAGATAATATTAAAAGACTTTATTCACAATAGAGAAATTTTTACAAATATAAGTTCTTAAAAATTAAGCATCTCGATCTATTATGTATTCCATAATTTCAGAGTTTATATAAAGGTGAAAAGACTAAATGGACTATGTACAAATCAAAAACAATTTAAATGTATCAAAGAAATGGACAGTATGTATGATGAAGTCACCATAGAAACAGTGAACGATTGGGCATTGCAAAAATCTGTGTACAATGCACATATATGTAATACTTATTTCACAAACTATCAAAACAATGTTGTTGTTTTCATGAAATAACGTGGGTGCCATTTAAAATTATTCACTTCTTAGGATTTAACATATGTAGAGTAATCTGCATTATTATGCTACAAAGAAATGGAAAAAGTACAGGCAGTGTGTTTCTGCAAAGATGTCCTCCCTTCCCCACCAGTAAAGCAATTTGTCTTGCTTTTATGAACGACCACGTACGCGGGTATGCAGTGATCACCACGAGCCACTTGCACACAGTTGGTTAAGTGAATGGGAAAGAGAATGAGTGTTTTCGCAACAATCTAGCAACCACTGCTAAATACTGTTTCAAAACAATTGCTCTAACTTTGGTGTTTTAGGGTTGTTCAAAAAATAAAAAAAGAAGAAAAATCAATATATTCTCAGTCTATGAAAAGATTTTTTTCTTACAGTCGGCAGATCTACACGTTGTACAATCTTCTCGTCTACTTACATTAGTTTACAAAAAGTACAGTATAGTGCAGTTTGTACATACAACCTGAATACCAATACCAATCACATCAAATTTGTGCTCTTGCAAATCATAACTCCCAAACTCAAAAAAAACAAAACAAAACAACAACAAACCTGAATATTCGTATTATGAGGAAACAGTCATGACACTTAGATATCTAAGTACATAGGACTCAATGCATACAAGAGTTTCGTGTTTGTTGCCTGCTTTTTGAAACAAGGAAAATAGGTATCTGGTTTTCCATTGTTTCTCTTAAACTTACTAAGTGAGCACAAGATCACTAGACACAGCTGAGGGAAGCAGACTGTGGTCAGGAAAACCATATAAAAAACAGGCTTATAAAACACACTATTTTTTTCTGAGCTAGTTATTTAACTGATATGAGGCCTACAGCAGCACGTGCACAACCATGGTAGGCAGCAGCAAATGACCCCAGAGATAAAGATAATTAAGACAAAAGTAAATATTACTACTTTTTTTGTTAAAGCGGGAAGAGAATTTAGTTTTATTCCACAGTGATGATAATTTCTCTGTGGTACTTGGAAAAAAATGATCCCTTAGAAATAGTTTCTGAAGAAACACCAAGAAGTACGGCAGTCCTCCAAAGATAGAAATTCTGGAGTATCAAAATAAGCAGGAGCTCTGCTTTTCAACAGAGGAGAGCCAAAACTTCATCCTCACGCGTTCTGAGACTGTTCCTGTGAGGTGCATTACTCTCATTCCTTTGAGAGTATCCATACTTTTTTTTTTTCCGAACTAATCATAGCACTAAAGCAAAAAGTCCTGAGTCCATGCGAGCAGGCTTCACTTTAGGCAGATGCACACACACACTCGTAGCAGCTCTCCCCGCTGTGGGTTGCGCAGGCTGAGCAGGGGCCCTCTGCTCGTCTCCGAACGCAAAGGCGCAGCTCTGCCAGCCCTGCGACGGCAGCAGCGGCGCCGCCCCAGACCCTTTTGCCC